GATTTTATTTGGAAATAGACGTTGCTACAATTTGACATTTATATGACAAATTTACCGGTTCTCAAATTTTCTGAAATTTTCACTATCGTATCTCAACATAATGCACCAAATAATACTAAAAGATTTTTGGTGTACAAGAACCGGAAATTGGTGTTTTACTTCCGTAAAGCAATTGATGTAGCAAAAAAGTGTATGAAAATACCAACATTTTTAGAGTTTAAGATTTTATATTTTTTTTATTATGCAACTTTTTGTAACATATTTGAGTTCATAATTTGCAGCAGATCCTACTTTAAATAATATAATATTATTTGAAAGCGTAAAACATTGTTTTGATAGTTTTTTGGACAAAAAAGTGAACCCTGTCGTACACCTTTGGAAGGCATCACTAAATAGTTCATAGCACAGGCCCTGGGGACCTTTTTCATTTTTCAAAAATATCTCATGGGATGTGTCTTAGGGAGCTACAAATATAACCCAGTAATGGTTAAATTGCTTTGTGGGCAAAATTCTTTTGTTCCTGTAACAGGTCCTTTACAAGTTTGTACTAATGATAACCAATTTAAACTGTTGTAGTGTTGATAACACTAGGATAACCAAATTTACTACGTCTGGATTGGAAACTAATATTATTGAACCGAGTTTTGTTAAGCAGAAAGTGCTTTGAAGATGCTGAGGATTTGATCTATTTCACAGGAGATAAGTTTGATTGTTTTATAATGTCAAATATGCCACTTTTTGAACACCTGTTTGGGATGAAACGACTGTAATTAGATGTATTTACACGCATCATGCCGTTCTCCTAATGATAATACGTCACAAGAATCTACAGATGTTATTCTTTAAGTAAACTATGTTAGCAGATAGTTATTTCTCTAGTACCACTATCTTCAAAACGACACAACTCCTGTTATATCAACGACGTCCAGAAAAAGAATAAAAGAAATTATGAAAATAGTTATTGAATAGTTTCGGTTTATGTATTCGACTATTTATTTATATATGGATATCTTTTTCAGAAAAAAATCCTGTGGCTGCAAACGAACGGTTCGAGTATATCTAGTCAAAACTCTTTATAAAGTAGTCACTTGAACCGTGTATGGCCTTTGAAATAGATTAAATATCCATGTAGAAATGTATTCAAGTATACTGAGTTTGTAATAAAGAAGTTTTCCAAGCATTATACGGCGTGCCTGTAATGAAGATTTAATAAACACAGATATATTCATTAGGAAAAATTTGCTCGTGTATATAGAAAGTCTGCAGACTGACCAAAGAAATTGTAAAAAAAAAAATACATTCTGGCAAATTCTGGTTATTGTTAATATGAATCTTCACACCGTGAATGTTATTGCACAACTCGGTTTTAACCTGGTATTTCTAGGCTTTGGTAAGCTAGGCAGCGTGACTCCACCTTTCCGATCACCATTCGATTCCTCATAGTTTTGGCTGCAGAAAATCCATTTTTGAATATGGTTGCATTACACATAACATTTATGAGTGAAAATATATTGGAGTATACATAGACGTTTAGGTCACATATAAAACAGGAGCGGAAACAGACATAAAGTTAAAACATAAAAAGGAGTAATGCATGACATGAGCAGATATAAACATTAAAGTTACATATAACAAATGGAAATAATATATAACAGGTGTGGACGTAGACAGTGATGTTACTAATTAGATCAAATGGAAGTAATATATCACGAGAGCAGACATAGACATTAATATAGATATAACATAAATAGATAACATATTACTGGAGTGAACGTAGATATCAATGTAATTTATATGAAACGAAAGTAATATATAGCGGGAGTGTATGTAGACATTAACGTTATTGATAGGAAATGGAAGTAATATATAACTGAAGTGAGCATAGACATTTACATTACATATAACATATGGGAGTCTTACATGGGTGTAATACAAATAAAAAGTACCAATTAATTACCTTAATTATACTGTTAACATAACCTTTAATAAATAACATCTTGGTATGTTTTCAATCCAGTTATTAGATTAAGGAACAAAAAACTGCATTTTCTCTGATGTTTTGGCACTAGTTTGACTAATAGCACGTAAATACCAACAGGTATCTTCAAAACAAGTAATACATCCCAAAGGTCGTGATAATGGTCAGTGCTAATAGCACAACACCTAATACATGTATACACACAGTGATAATTTCTCACCACATAGGATTGTCTAAAATGACAATTACATAAATCTAAATTATGTAACCGGAAAACAGACAAAAGCACAGTTTACATAACCCCATCATTGTTAGACATTTATCTTCTTAATATTATTGCAGTATGAATCCCCGTCTTTTACAAACATATTCCAAGATGCGCGACAGCGACTGGGTTATTAATAACAATACAGTAATAATTTGATTTTGATCCTCGTATTTTCATTCAAAACAAAGGGAATTCTGATTTATTTTCTGTGTGGTTTCATGATGCATTTTCAACAAACTGTTGTACCAGTAGTGTTTTACTGGATCATGGTCATGGTTTTTAATGTTACATCTCCGTGAGTCTGAATATCACATCATGCATTTATGTAACAACTTCCTCTCACTTACCATTGTTTTTCATCACATTGATGCAATAGTATACGTACAACACAGAAACAGAACACGGCATTTAGGGGAAATATAGTACAAGCATAAAACGATTTGTTAAATTTTGATGTACCATCTCAAGAAAACACCTGTTTTGTCATCAACAAGCAGATAAATGCCATTCAGTAGTCTCCTAACATATCCCAGCTGATGATCACATATGCCAAAAATAATTATCAACTCATCTTCAATCAACACTTTAACAAGTCAGTAATAAAAAACCCAAATGAATATTAGTTTCATGAAAGCAGATGAATATCTTGCAAATCAATGAAAGTATAGAATTTGCTATACTTTGATACAGGTACGCAATAACATTCCATTTATTGTTTTGTGTGTACCAGTTCCAAGTATTTAAATGATATTAAGGATGTACTCTTCTGAGGTTTCAATCACGTTCAAGTCTCGTTTTGATCTGGTGTAAAGGGTTTTTGTAATATTTAACAACTTATGATCAAGTTTATTAGCAAACACGCATCTGAAAAATATGTCAAAAAAATAGATGCCTGTTGTTTGTAGAACTTTTTTTACAAGAATTTAAAGAAATTACCAATTCGGCGGCCATTTTGAAAATGTGTATTATTGTGTAAATCTTGTGCTTCAAAAAAGGCCAAAATTTCACCTTTTTTGGCACTAGATTGATCACTTAAATTGTCATTGTGTCGCCATTTTTAATTGTAGCAGGTTCATTTTTGCTGTACAACTTTATAATGTTAAATATGATAAAAATAATATGCAACAAACTGGAAAATTATACATTATTGATATTTTTTTTACGTATTTAGTGTAACTGAAGCACTTTTGATTTTTGACCCCGAAAAAAGTAAAAAATAACACAAATAATAATGGGACAAAAAAAGAAGCACGCTGACCCCCCATTTTTGTAGATGTTTTAGAAAGAGAAACACGTTTTCATTTAATTCATTAAAAACCAGAACTTTTTATATCAAGCGTTTAATCTGTAAAAAAAATGGTAAAAAATGAGTATTTTTTCATTAAAAGTAGGGGGTAGGGTTAACTAAAATCGGCTTTTTGAGTTAAAACAATAAGATTAAGAAATTTTACTTCCATAGTTTAAAAGAAAATAATATTTTCAACAATTCTACAAACATTTATACATATCTGAAAACACACTTGGAAGAAATTGCATGAATTTGTTCTGCAAGTGGTCAAAACCCAAAAAATCACCTAAAATCACATGTTGTGGTAAATTGGTATCTTTGACCAATCAAAGCACAAAAACGAGCACACGGACATATGTTTTTTTTGGCATTTTCTACTATGCCATTTACTCCTTTTTCCAAAAATCCATATAAGAAAAAAGTTTAATACAGGAAATTTTTGACTTCTCAGAGGTGTACATCCTTAACGTGTTTACGCTTTATATTTTGCAAATGCTATCATTCACGGATTATCAACAGCGGATTTGATTCACTTTATAGAACACAATAATAACAAAATATCAATTGTATCCTCATTAATCCATGATATTTGAAAATCGGGGATATTTCTATACTAATTAAAAATCATAGAATTTTATGGAACTGCTTGTGATTGTTGACTTCGTGATGGTCTCTTGTACATTATCCTTCAATCTCATTTTCTGCAGGAAAATGATGGGAATATGTACGAGGTTAACACGAGAAATACATTACTGAGTGAACAGAGACACAACAGGTTAATGGATACAGGAGAATGCAGGCAAATGCAGAGATGGCTGGAATAAGTAGCACCATTTTCATCCCACCTCTGCCTACTTTCTGACATGAATTCTACAGCAGTTTTGCAGCGCAGCTTAGTTATCTAGTGCTGTAAGCCCGAGAAATCTTTGTACTAAATTCATTCAACAATTTATCTTCTTCGTTTCAAATTTGAATTCTCAAGGCTCGAAGATAAAAAAGCTCTGCTGCTTATGATTAATCTAGAGACTAGGTACTACAACAGCATTAAATATATATTATGGATTGATTATATGCGACAGCCAGCCTTCTAAAGAAGCATTAAAACAGAGTTAATAGAAATATAATACAGAACGCATTGAATAAATATGTAACAGCCACCCTGCTATAGAAGCACTAGGATATATGGTTGGTTATAGGTAGGCTAAGTAGCTGCCACACAGCCTGGTCAAAGTTACCTGTGACTGCTAATGTAACTATTGGCCCTCTGTACAAACACCTGTTGCATATCTAGGAAGTACGAGCTATCACTGGGATGGCCCGTTGGGGACAGATATGTGCACTGGGAGTCCTTAACACTCCCCTGCTCTATCAGGCTGCAAAGTTTAAATGCAAACATTTTACCAGGGTCCAGTGCTGCAAAGCTTATTTATTTACACGATGTGTCAAAGATAGTGTCAATTATAAGTGAAATCCCCTTCTATAAAAATTAGCTGTGTTTTTCTGGTCATTTTAATGTTATATCATTGAAAAGTTATATGGAATATTTCTATTATATACCATTAAAAATAATATGGAATATTTTCATCAAAAAAAAAATTGCATTACATAAACGTTTTTTCTGACCATTTAATGTTATTTTTAAAAATATTTTATATTTTTAGTACTACCAACACGAATTTCTCTGATAACCATACTCGACAACCTGGGGTCATGAAAAACATTTATGGACAATTTCATTTGTAATATAAAAATCTCAAATATATTCTATACACATTCATAATCTTAACAACTTAAATGAATGCATCATCCTAAGCTTTAGCAATACTCTAACCGAAACACAAAGAAGAAAACAGGCATTTTATTTCTTATGAATATGCACTCTAATAATGCGTTTTTATAAATTAACAAAAATAATGCAAAAATATGCACAAATAGAAATTATTTTTTAGGGAAACATTTATCGAAAAAATAAGGTAAGATTACAAAAGCAATACCTAGAAGTTCCGGTGCGTCTTATAAAACATGTTTATGATTATGTACACTAATGATAGGTCTTAAAATGACTTATGTGAATTTTTGACCAATAACAAAGTAAGAAGAAGAAGAAGAAGAAGAAGAAAAAAATCCACGCAAAGAACATATTTTTCGGGAAACTTTCACTTTTATATTGTTCTATCAAGCGTTTTTCTTTACATTTCCAAAAGTTCAGTTTGCAGGATAAAACAATTCAGATTACATCTCATAAAATTCCATGAGGACAATTATCATAGCTTCTGTTTTGATTAAAAAAAATAGATCAGATGAGTGGGATATAGTCTGAACTACAAGCTTATCTACATGCATTTACTGGTTTCTTAATCAATACAGGAGAAATAAGGGGATCTGGAGTCATAAGGTACTATTGATATGGATAGTTTGATCTAAAAAGCTTCATTTTTATAAAGTATCCTGAATAAGAAAATAAAATATTGTTTTTGCTAATGCACAACGAGGTGATTGTAACATAATTCTTTACTAAATCTAATTGCCAATATAAATGATTTAAACACAAACGAAGTTATCATTGCTCTAGACAGTATTACTAGTATCAGTCAAACAAGCTTATTCTAATACTCAATACATGGATCATTCAAGTTCAAAATAAATAGGACTTTCAACATACTGAAAGAACCTCGATACAAGAAATTAACCTTGATGATGTAAAACAGGAGGAATAAGAATATTGTATGGCTTAAACATTGAAGTACTTATGAAATAAATACATGGAACGCAAAATAAGGATGTTCAAAATCTGAATTTAGACAAATATGGGGTACATGTTTTATCCAATTTAATGATTATTTTAAGGACAAAATACTAGCGTGACTTAGTCTTCGTTAACAGTGCTCTTTCTAGATATACCAAATCTTGAATAATCTAAAAAAAAACTATATATTTGTTTACACCCGCTTTACAAATACAAACATAGGTCTGCTAGGGACTCCATCATCTAATATAATTGCTATTTTTATAAATATATCTTGACTTAAATGACCCATGACCTGTAAATGTTAAAACTACATTTGAAAATTAGAGCTTTCATTTGACTGCGTTTACACTTACAAGAACATACTGTTATGGGACAATATTGAAATGGATGGTGGTATGATTTAAAAAAACACTTTATCTTATTTTAATATTGCAAAGTTACCGAAGTAGAAAAAAATCGTAATCCCAACACAAATATGTGATTGTACAGTTCACGTAAAATCATTCTATTCATAGGAACATGCAGAATTGAATTTTATTTTATTTTTAAAATATATCTCAATACAAGCAAATTCTAAACTATTTTTTTAAATAAAAAATTAGAAGCAAAAACAAAATGTGTTATTGGAGAACTGTCTAAAAAATATAACACCCAACTCCACAACTGTCTTCAAATACTAGTAACGTAATGGGGAAAAAAGGTTGGCGTTTATATCTTGAAACAATTTTCAAAAACTCGAATTGCAAACAGAGAGCAATCTTCCGATAATTCGAAACAAAACAAAAAAATAAAAGATGAAGAACAATGTGCACATGTATTGAAGACATCCTGTTATAATGATACCTCAACTTTGATTTCAATCATATCTTATTTTTTTTATTTTGAATTATCGCAGAATGACATGTGAATATAAAGGCCAAGCAAAATTGTTAAAGACATTTTTTAACAAAATAAAAACTAATTAAAAAAGTAAGTTTCCTTCTTTTTCCTGCACATTTAAACATTAACAACAAGGAGCCCTTCCAAGTAGCTGATAAGCAGTGTTACACAAAAATAGACCAATCAAAATCTGTCCTCGATGAAGATAATTATAAACACTCGAATAACGAAATTATACATGACATGTAGGCATCAAGTCGCTCATCAACCAATCAAAACACGAATTCAAACACAAATATAACCCTCACCTTTTCTGCAGCTTTTTCAGCCTATTTTTCTTATTGCTAAAATAAGTTATGTCAAAGTGAAAAGTAAAATAGCAAATGTTGGGGGAAATGATGTATAAATCTCTCTCATTAAATGAGGTGTATATATGAGACACGCCTATACACTTTTAGAATTACTTCACTTTGGCTCTATGACTGTTGTTAAACGTCGGGCGTCCGTTGTTTGGATGTATAAGTGCAAGAAAATAGTAAAAAGAGTAAACAGATCACCTCGAAATAGCATATTTTCATATAGTTAACTTCTTTCCATTCAAATCTCAAATAAATCTACATGAAAAGTAAATACCGATAAAATAAAAGGCCATACCCCCTAAAACAAAATTTCAATGATATCTCATTAAACTGCCATCATTTCCCAAGCAAAAATGTGCCGTTTAATGGAGTTTGGCGACATTTTGTGGGAGATATATCAAAACCCACTAAAAATGGAAAATGGCAAAATAATGAGGTAGCATTGTATAAAACATCTAATACAGTAGGTAGTTTCTGTCTTAGTTCTATTAACAAAATTTCTGCAAAAATTGAAGAAACAAAAAATCAAACCCAACGAAGAAAACCTACCGTTTAGTCAGTGCATCAACTTCAGCATTGTCGTATTTGGATCTACCAAGATCTTGTGAGTTCCTTGGACTAGTCATAGAACGAGAGCTCCAGGGACTTGAGCTCTGAGTTCCCTCCAGGTACTGCTGGCTCGGTGGCTCTGGCTTTGGTAGAGCATTTTCTCTGAATCTGTTCTTCCTGTCAGGGTAGGTAACAGGTCTTTCCCCTGACGCTATACGAGGTTCGTGGTTACCCTTGGATACCGCACTTTTTGTCGGTGGCCTGTTGGACTCCGTGTGAGCAAATGTCACTGAATTTTTCATAGATTTTACATCTCCATGAGTATCACAGAGTGTCTTATTAGGCGGCCTATAATTATTTAAATCATTGTTACTACTAATCTGACTTTTATTGGAAGGAGGTCTCACTGAGTTTAAATCATTCACTATCGCCCGGACTGTGCCGGCACTGCTGAGGTTGGAGTTCCTCTTAGAAATATGTCTATCAATAGATACAGCATTAGGGGAGAGGTCTGGAGGTCCTCTAGAGTTCTGAGTATTTGGAGTATGATTAGTATAGATACTTGGATCAATTGTTATTTTCACCCCACGATGGCGAAAATCTACTCGTCGATTACTGTTCATTATTGTTCTTGAACGCTCCATCTTGAGTCCAGGATGAATCGCAGGAACATTATTACTTTCAACGAAAGTTCCTGATCTCACAAAAGCTTTCTTCGTCTGTTGTTGTGGTTCTGGTGCAATCGATCCAGGTTCATCGCCTGAGCTTTTTTGGTTTCCCTGGATTGAAACATAACTCATTGTTACCGGGAACATCTTACCAATATTTTGTGACCTTTCAGCCTTTGGTGGTAGGGGTTTACTTTGAAACGCCTCCTTGACCTGGACAGGGTTATTTTGCGACCGTGTTCGATGAACCACTTCTTTCCTTGGAACTTCTTGTGGCACCGTCTTCTGAGGCGAACTCGTTTCTCGCTAAAATTCAAAACAAGTTTCAAATTTAATACCTTAAATTATCATCTTAGAATATTTTTAATTTTGTAAAATTTCGATATATATGTTCTTGAATAAAATTGTTACTATTGAAAATGAAAATGTGGTAGAATCGTAAAAGGCACAAAAACATGAGCACAAAAACATAAGCACAAAATGTACAAATTAAACAAAAGCAGATTATCATTCATAAGTTATGATTTTCTAACTAAATTTGAATTTTCATTTGTAAATATTAAATGAAGTAAATAGTTATAGGTTTTATCTGAGATTGTTCAATTAAGATATGAATTAACAACCTTTGGTCCAAACCTGTTTGAAGCAAAGACAGTTTTATCTGTACTGTATGAGCTTTTCAGTGTAAACCTGCCGTCAATTTTCGATTTGAAACGTGAGATAACACGCCCGCAATATTTTTTACTTTAATGATTATAAAAGATATTTCACAGTTATGCAGGTAGAATATAACAGGAGCGTTTATACAGGTGCTTATAGTCAAACAGTATGAAACAGGAAATTGTATAAACATATCTTTATTGAATTGATATATCACGTGACCATGACTTTTGCATATACAAGTAATGAACAAGCAAAGCATATATATTTTTTTATTGATGCTCAAAATAACACTCAACCAGCAACAGAACAAAACCAAAATACTATACACATCAAATGATAATATTATACAATTTACATCTAAAAAAATAAACTTACGTTAGTCATTAATGTCCAATATTTCAAGTTTAAACCTTTGCAATTATTTTAGAGCGATTTCTTTTTAACTTACAGCATAATATGAAAAAATTTATTAAAAATATTGTGATAGACTCATCTTGAATATGGTCAAGGTAGCGATGCAGCTAAATTAAATATATTTGTATATATATGCGTAGCTACCTGGGTAATTCACTCTCAAGCAGGATAATTGTTTGTTTTAGCTTTATTGAAGTAGAAGATATCAGCTTTGAAACTTAATTGTAGACAAAGTGGCTCTTTTTTGCTCTTTAATGAGTGATTGAAATACAATTAATACTTCCACATTTTCTTAAGAAAAAACCCAACTAAAGCGCCCATGTAGTTACCCATTGAGTGGCATCAATAACGCTTAATAAAAAACTGCAGTTACAGCTAAAAAGCAACTAGAATAATACCTCCATGTTATAATGATTGGCCATGTAGATTTGTTCAGATAAAACAGCTGGGCAGCATTCAAAATAACAGCTTAATGTACAATGACGATTGGATCATGTAGATCTACCTAGTCAGATATAGTCAACTGAAGAATTCCTGAAGACAGTCTTTGTATTGCAACAATTCAAAACACTATAAAATAACCACAAAAGTATTTCCAAACGAAAAACATCTATTTCAAATCAAATATATTCATGATAAATATATACTACTAAATTAACAATAGGAAAAATAATCCATTAAAAATTCAGTACAATATTGTCTCTTATCAGAGTTTCCGATTTTACATTAACCCATTAACATCTCCTACTACTGAAATGGAAAACTTCTTATGGTTGTTCATCAGGATTCAGTCTTTGATATGACAATTTATTCCTCCATCAGTAAACAACATGACACAGTATATTCATATATCACTAAAATACATTGTACAAATATGAAAGGGAAATAACTCTTATTTCAAATATTGTCCATTCATATATCCATTCTTGTAAAATCTGTAATTTTTTCAAGAAAGTTGTTTCAATTTTAATTATTTTTAAAGGTCGATAATTTTTCACATCAAAAAGTTAGATTTCAAACCGTGAAAGGAGAAATGCATGTAAGTTAATATTGTGCCAGAAAATATGTTAATGTGTTACCGATAACTGCACATTTTTTTTTATTTAATTCAAAGTAACTGTACCCCTACAAAAGTTTGCATACTAAATACCCTTTTCTTGTGTTATCCCAAGTTTGAAACTTTACACTGAAACATGTATGAAATACACATAAAATTCAACATCCTCAGGCAAAGACAAGCATTGTTTATTGACTATCCTATTAGTATCAATTTAGTATTTCAGTGATCAGGTTTAAGCAATGGGAATATTTATTATTGTTTTGACAATATCTAAAATTCGAGTTACTTCCCTTTCTTACAATTGAAAGACAATGTAAACTGACACAAAGCAAAGGCCTGTTTGAAATGTCATATACACATCATATAATCTAAACAGCTAATTATAACCTACATCCACATATTTGACATAACATGGATTTATCTATAAATGTTACAAATCTACATTTTTACTTGCAAGTCGGTATCTTAAAAACTTCTACTATCGTGAAATACAGGGAGAATAAATGATTGGATGGATGGGAAGATAAATAAGCTAATTATGCTATAAAGATATTTTGTTTTCATTATCTACATCTATATGAAATACTATGGGTCAAAGAAGTAATAATCAAACGGTAGCTTCACCAATTACATTATGAAATACTAGATAGATGCATGTTGAGATGGACAGAAAAATACTGCAGATCAGGCATTACGGCTAAAAATGGATAACGACAGATCATGACATAATTGTCAAGACAAGTTTAAGTTCACTCAGATCATTCACATTATTTTGATACACATCAAGGTTGTATTTGATTTGTAACAGAGTATTTAGTTATTTTTTAAATTGTGTTGTATTTTACAGTTCATTCAAAAATGGAATAGAAGAAATATGGTGAAAATAAACCTGCTGCAAAACTCCGTAACTCAAAGTGAGCCATTTTCTTAAGTTATTCAAATTCAGTCGGTGAACGACATATACAAACTAATTCAGTAAATATCTATCATATGCCAGATCAATTATGTCCATCAAGATACATAAAAGGGTATACCAAGATATAAATCAATCTGACACACACAAAACCTGGTATACTACACTAATCTGTTTTCTCCTCTTTATCACACTGTATGGTGATCTAAAGGAGTTATAATGGGTAATTCTATATTTAAATACAAACGTCTATCTACTATACTATCTCATGTCACCAAACTGATAAATTCACTTCATAGGTATGTCATTAAATTCTTCACAACAATAAAAACTGGAAAAAAAGTTCTGTTACTTTAAAAAGTATATGGTAAAAAATAAATATGTGAATGCTGAATTGAATTTTATCTGTGTGATTTTTTTTTCAATCAAATGAAATGATTTTGTATACAAATAGAGTTTTGATTGAGAAAGAACACATTACACTATATATGACTTATACAAATGATCTTTTAGATCTTAGATCTGTATCAGGGCTATAGGTATATATCAAATCTTAATAAATATAAACTCTAGTCTATCATTCAAATGAACACATTTATTGGATGAATACAACCAGACCATATAAAAAATTGTCATAAAAATTTAGTTGTCACGAATTGTAAAAAACACACTATAAATATTTTTGTCCTGCTCATAATCTCAATTCCAACTCGGACAAATTGCTCGTAAACCAGTCCCCTCATCAGACCTACATTGCTGGTGTGCCTCAGTGACAATGAACAATAAGAAACACTTTGTGGAAAAAATCCAATCAATAATCATATATCAATTTGTGACATCTTCGAAAACGGAGGAATTGAGCTGTAATGTCCCTATTCAAAGACAAAATTCTACCACAGTGGCTAATGAATATACAATGTATGTCATTAAATGACGACAAGGGTCATGAAAAAATGAACACGATAAGAATTAATTTCATGATCGATTTTCACCCATAATTATCGTATTTGTGATAACAAAAATGATAAGCACCAGAATTTGGACAACCTGCAAGCTTTTCAGTTTTTAAAGTTATTATTAATAATTCATTCAAGCTTTTCAGCTTGTAAAGTATTTATTAATAATTCATTCAAGCTTTTCATTCTTAACTAGTAATTGAATTGTTTGACACAAGATAATCCATTATTATAACATTTTTTAATTTGTTTTGCTTTTATTTTATTCAACTAAGTGATGATGTATAATAATAAGTCTTTGAACCTTTTATGTTATGCTTTGATATACTATGTACTTTTGAATCTTAATTTTTTTTTCAAATTGATTGCTAATCTTGCACTGTGTTATACAACATTAGTAGTGCAAACATCCCTTTTTTGGACACACGTTTTTATGGATAATGGATGGTAATTGATTCTCTTAAAAAGAAAAGAAAAACCGACTAATTTTGCATCATAATGGATTATCGTCTCAAAGCTGTTAACACCCCAGCTCTCATCCTCCTATAAGTAGATACATTAAACAACCATTTAGGGTAAAAAGGGATGGGTTATTTTCTTATTAAACTGCGGATAACTCGTTTTTTTCTCAAATCAGATGGACTCACGAGTCTCATGCCCACGTGGTAGTTACGTCTCTGAAAATGTCGATGAGAGCATAGCACATGCATTTTTATTAATAGGCAAACAAGTTGTGCACACATGTTAATGTTGCTGCAAATGAAAGTTTTATGAATGAAATGAACTCTTAATGAAAATACCAAAACCTGTCTGTTATAACTGAATATGTTAAAAATAAACAAGACGATATGAAGCATGGCTAAACAAATCTCTCTGTAACTCTCAATATCAGGCAAAGAGGGAATCAAATGGTACATGATCATATACTCCAAGTTAACACAAGGTCAAGCTGTCATTAGCAAATATACACACAACAAATAGACACCAACACCAAACACTTTTCACTTAAAGATGTATTTTAGAAATTCATGATCAAACTTGTACAAGCAGGGATTTAAATCGGTCATTTACAGATCTAAGAACAATAAAATCATTTTCAATATGAGTTAAAAGAGTCCGCAGAAGTTTCAATTTTTACTTTAAGATATCTTTAATATAAATAGTTAATAGTTCATCTTTATCCAGACCCTGTGTTGAAAACCTCAAATACACAACATCAAAACATGCCATATATTCAGCTTAAGAGCACAAGAAGGTAAAAGGGAGGTAACTTACTTGACTTTCTTTGTCATGATCCGATTCTGTTTCCGTAAGCTTTGTTCCCATGGACTGAATAGCTACTGAAGAAACACTGCTACTTGCTGCAAATGATGAAACAGACAAAGAATTAAATACAAATGGTAACCCTTCATTTGTATAAAATATCTAAGACTTGTTTAAATGAAAATTAACTTATCAGTCTGATTTGATTAGAAATGAAGCAGTTTCAGGACAGAATAATAACTGCTTATTACAATTATACGTTATAAACACATTTTAACATGACATGAGGATTGATAACATCACAAAATGATAAATAATGTTTTCTGATGATTGACGTTACAACACAAATGTTGATAGATGTAATGATATATGAGGGTTGATGAAATGCTATCACAAGGATTGATAACAGAACACGACGAGAGCTAACATCATTATATACTAAGATTACAGTAATAATGCCATGCAAGAGTTGATAACATCACATGCGGGTTGGTTGGAAAAATGAACAACAAAACTGGCTATACACAAGTATTGGTCAGATATTGAATAAACTGTCATGTTTCTTTACGAATTTAAGTAAAAATAACAATATATATATATAACATTATAAGCATTTACAATGCCATAGCAGGAAAATTGTGATGGAGTTTGATACCCAAAAGAAAATTATTTAACATTGTTTTCAGCTTGGGTTCACAAGGAGTGTCTATAATAAACATGATTTACTAGATGGCAATGTTTGAAAATGGATTTTTTTTGCTTATTTATTTTATTCCAAATTAATTACAGAAGCTCAAAAAATACAAAAAACAAAACCAATTGTGATGCTTTAGCTTTCATCTTTAGAAATATACCACACAAAAAATATCACATCTTAGTATACCCCTCAATCCAAAAGTTTAATTCAGTCAACTTTTCAAGTCTAAATTACCTACATGTATTGTGTTTACGACCACAAATTTTACCAAGTTTATCCTGTATAATAAAGGGAATATATGTTTGAGTCACAGCAACCATTTTAGGTAAATCAAAATCATCAATTAATTCAATACTATTGTACCTTAAAACTTAGTCATTCTCATAGGATATCACAAGGTAACTTAACTTTCATGAAAAAAATCTACAAATACACATAACCATATTATAGTGATGCTTTCTTCAAATCTGAAGTGTTGAAAAGAGTATTAATTCAAACATCTGAATTGTTTTAATTCATCAAGGACCATGATAACCAATTGATATATTTTAATTTAACATATTTCAATTTTCCTCTGATAAAGCAAAAACCTCTCAATCAGTCCTTATGGTGCCAATTTCTACGTGTGGAGTTTGGGAATATAGTTAACAAATATTTCCATGAAAAAGGGATTTAGCAGAAACAGTGTTTTAAAAAAAATCATCATATGGTAAATATATTAATAACACAATAGATTTTGGTTAAAAATTGCTTTTTACCAAAAATGCTAAACATCGTAACAACAAGTTTGACAAATGAACACCATGCATGTTAATTACGAGAGTAAAACCTACACCAATCAAGATTGGTCAGTTCAGGCCATAACCAATCAAACTGACTAAAATCTTCTTAGAGGATTAAACATTACAGTAGACACAGCCATAAAGGTGCCCTATAACTTACATTTATTCATCAAACATGTTCCAATTAGGAAAGAAGTTTTAGATATTTTCATGAAAATCAGACCTAAAGTGAACAACTTTGAGATTCTATTTATCATATACTCAAACAAATAGTGTTAAATTGCACGATTTGTGATTCAATCAAACTAAAACACCACCAGTTTTGCCGTGAACTTGTGACGTCAACGTACTGTCCTTAATGTGACGTCAAAATGGGTGATGTAACACACGTTTCTTATCAAAAACTTATGTGATAATGTTATAACACCGCATAACAGTCTGTGTATATGATAAATTGCATTTTGAATATATCAATGGTCGTCATAAATAGGTTCCATAGAAGTGACAACTTAATGAAGTTTATACAACATCTCATAAACATGGTGCCATTAATGAAAAAAAAAAAATTGCAAACTTTCACATCAACCCTACTGTAATTTAGCATCAAATATTGTCCAAGTTGTTCCAAATATTTGGAGACAATGCAATATTACTCTGACACCTTAACAGTAGGGTAACAAAGAGTTTGTTAACAACACAAATGATATTCCTGAAATAGCCTAACTTCACCTAAATATTTACATCTTATGATGGTCCTACGTTATTCCAGTGCCGACACTCAAAACGTAAATGTTCCTGTTGATGTCAGACACTGTTCTGGATTGGGTATATCCATCATTACAAAATACCAACATATAATACAAGATTTCATAAAATGATATCGAAAATGTGTATAATTTACAATAAGAATATCTCCAAGTCATGCCAAAAGCAACACCAGTCTGCCTGTAGGACGCCTTGTGATTAAAGGAAACATGCATTTTCAGGAGACATGCAGTCTACAAAATATCAGCATATTTTTCTTAACTAAGAAAATATTAAAATTGCAGGTACAAATGGTGTTATAAAATGCTATATATATATCTGATGATTATTTTTTATCTTTATTAGAGATTCATGTTGATTGAATTTCACAAGCTAATTGAAGAGTAACTGTTTCAGTGGATCTATCTAATGGCTTTACAACTTTTGCAAACTTTTTTTTAAAGTTTGAATGTAAAGTATACTGAGAGATATTCTTTTTTCATATCTATCATATTTTATCTGAGTTCAAACTGCAGGTAGTTCAGACCTTAGTTTAGTCCACTAAGAACTAATGAAATTAAAGGAGGGGAAACTTTCCCTAAAGTGAACATCCCATCATTAGGAGTCATCAGAATCAATTAAAGAAATACATGCTTTATGCAAATCTGAATATTACTGAGCAAGAAAATGACAAAATTATAATGCATCATTATGTTATACCTTTGATTTAACAAGAATACTAGCATTCATGCTGTTAATTTTGAACTAAAAACTTTCAAACTGGAGAAATGCACATGACAATCCATCCCTTTCATCGACAACAATTAAAGTCACTAAGATTGGGTATCCAAAGCAACAGCTGCCAATCTCAAACCAAATTTTAAATTTCATCTTTTAATTTCTGCCAAATTGTTAATCACAAAAAAGTTCCTTTAGAAAAGATTTTCCGTCATATGATCAGTAACAAATGTCCAATTCTGTAATTATTGAGATGAAATCGATATTTTCTTTTTAGAATTAAAGTTTGACAAGTTAAGATGAGATTGGGAACTGTTCTATATGTTTCCGTATCGCAGACACACAATATCCATAATTACAGAAATAAAATAACCAAGTAAGACACAATGTCTGTTGCCGTGGTAACTTACACTTCCGCTGGCTCATTTTAAGTAGTGCAGACGAGTCTAAAACACAATACCCAGTAACTGTAGGCTTAACCATATTGTCAGAATGTTTCAAATGTAGAGCTCGTTCTACATTTTGAGTTGTTTTTGAAATATTTGTAATGTCATTTATAAAAGCTTCCTTTTTTCATAATAATATATAGCGGCATACTTAATTCCTCAATCACACAATGCATGTAAATCTATGATGAGAGTTTTCCGTTACTTGAGAACAAATCATGTGGCACTATACCAACACAATATACATGTACTAACAAATCCTGAAATGAAGTGTGTTATTCCGTAGGCCTCGACCATATACAGACACATCACAGTCTCAGTACGTAGGCCTCGACCATATACAGACACATCACAGTCTCAGTACATAGGCCTCGACCATATACAGACACATCACAGTCTCAGTACATAGGACTGGACCATATACAGACACATCTTAGTCTCAGTACATAGGCCTCGACCATATACAGACAAATCACAGTCTCAGTACATAGGCCTCGACCATATACAGACACATCACAGTCTCAGTACATAAACTTTGCTCCTCTACAGACACATCATAGTCTCAGTACATAGGCCCCAACCATAACAGACACATCACAGTGTCAGTACATAGGACTCGACCATATACAGACACATCACAGTCTCAGTACAGTAACTATACTCCACAAATGTCTACTGCCTAAATGGTACTGACTCTACAGGTTTCATGAACATTCTTTTACATAATATTCTTTATAGGGATGCATTACTGAAGAAAACTAAAGGGAAATTTCCTGTATTTATGACTTTTCCTCAACTCCAAGTATGCTTTTCTATGGTAAACTTAAAGAATCATTCATGAAACTGGGGTCTGTGATTCTATTTTGGGGGTTTAAAACTAGGGACAGCAGTAGCTGTGTACATCAGAGACTACTTCCTAATTACCTGTCGTCACTTTTACACTTTCCACAATACAACTACTTACATAAACTAGGTATCAAAACACACTCTTGAGAAGTAACAACTCAGGAAAAAAAATATCCATATTAAAATAACAATCACAAAAATTATATTCAAATTTTAATGACAGGTGTTTTTTCTCTTTATAGTTTGTTGGCGTTTTTTGCTTCAATTTAACTAACAGTACAAAGTCACTAGTTTTTGTAGATGTTTTTGAAAATAGCACTGACTTAAATTTGGAAAATATATATTTTTGTTTGTTTTAGGTTCTTGAAAAGGAAATATTTGTATTATTGATACTTTAACTCTATAATCTTCTGACAAATATCCTGATATCCTATAGAGTTCTTCATTTATTTTTTGATATAGTCAATATTTAAAACTTGCAAATGTTCTCATATGTAGAATCATAGTTTGATATTGAACTGAAAAATCAAAAAAACATTCAAATTAAGCCAGTTCCCACCATCATAAAGCAGTTTTAAATTTAAATCAATGCATGTTTCAAATGCTGATACAATTACTATATTTCTTTGAAATCAGTGTCTATGTGGTGAAATAGTCAAATTTAACTCATTCACCCCTGAAATTTCATAAGGAACTATTCCAACCTTTGAATTGAAAGAGTTCAAATGTGTCTTCAGGGGTGAATGAGTTAAAACATGTACATGTTCATGCATATGAAATGATATTTAAATGATAATTAGATTAGAAGCTGAAAAATGAATTAAACAACATTCATAATGACTAACTTTTTCTGTAATTCCAGGGACAGGTTCAACATGATTAAAATACGAAAACTGCATAATCAAAGTCATCTTCATGTTTCATTTTTGCTTTCATATTTTCAAAGCATGCTACCAGTGAGAATAATTGGTGAATTTTTACATTGATATTGAGTCACAGATGACACATTTGATGTGTTCATAGTGGCACAGCCTTCACCATGCTGACTGATATAGTGTACAGTACGTGTCGAGGTGTGGCCTAGTAGGGTTCAGGGGAGATAACTAGGTGTGGGAACGGGGATGTGGGGGAGGAATCCAATATTACTAGATGTTCAAAGTATTTTGTATGGAATACGATCTGGACTGAACTAACCTTAATTTGTACAGTTATTATACTCAAACTTTTGCTTTATTGTAGATTTTTCTTTTTTAATTATAATACAATATATACTTTTCACAGTTTTGGTTCCTTTTTGATAAAAAATAAAAGAGAGAAAGACACTTTGAACACACAAGATTATGGGCAATTATTTAATTGCCAATATTACAGTAATAAATGTTTGTAAAACACATTCACAGTTTCCCAAGTTTTAAAATGTATGTATCTGATAAACCATTCTCAACAAGACAACACCTGTTGCAAATGTGTTTGATTAACATATACTTGCCTCCGAAAGAAAAAAGACTTTAACAAATAATTAAATGAATGAGAATCTTGTACCATCTTACAATGTTTAAACAGCAAAATGAAATATATCAAGTGTGAAATAACAAAAATATTACAAAGTAATTAAAAGGTTAAGTATTAATCTAATCATTATCTTTGCATAAAATTATAATCTTCAGAAAAAATATCAAGTATGGTTTAAAAAGTACAAAAACATAAATGAAGGAAATAAAAAACACTTCTAAACAAAATATTCTATAACCAAATTTCACTATAAGTTAATAACTATAATTTTAAATATATGAAGTTTAAGGTAAATGTCCCAATATCAGTTAGTATAAGAAAATAGTGTTTCTCCCTGTCTTAATGTAGATAGAGACAATGATAAAGAAAAACAGCCAATAACCAAACTTGACTTTTCAAGCTCACCTGGTTCATGTTCGTAAATCGCAATAAACTTTAAATGTTTAGATATTCAACAACAGGTAACGTTTGTCTCAGTATTGTGTATCACCAAGCATTAGGAGGATAGGTTACAGAAATTGGCTATAAACATTAAATATTTTTTTATGAATATTGATAAGATTTGGAGACCTTATATTACTGTAAGTGATAATGGCATTGATGACGGACACGAAACCATGGCAACGTCTAGTAGAGCTATTGAAACAGGTCTGTTTTTGTTATTGCATCTTAAGGAAGAATTATTTGCTAGTGATGAAACAGAAAAAATCCATAAATCTGTACCCCACATGCCATTAAAGACCTGTACTGGCACTGAAAAACAACGTTAGTACATGATAGATGAACCCATATTTAAGTTGTTTGCAGTTTAGTCGGAGATTTTGAAAAAGCAACAGTTTTTAAAGAATCTTGTCACATGTGAAAATATCTTTTTATAACATATTTGTGATTCATTTTTATTTTTTTTAAATTTAATTCTTATAGATATCAATACTGGGTTTTTTCAGACAACATGGCATGACCTTACTGTAAATCATACTAATAAAGTTAACATGTATTTTAAACAAAATTCTTCCCCTTTAAGAGTATAAAAACCTGTTTCTCCAGTCATTTTTGCTCTCATTTGACCCATGTTTTAGTCAAAGGATATCTAACATTCTGGTGATGACACACATCAAGATATTCCGTCTTTGCGTATTGCAGAGTTATCTTCTCTTGGGAGCAGGTACTGATTGTTACGTCATTGGTTTGTGCGAGAAAATTACGTCATTTTCTCAAAAATTGATGACGTTACTCTCACAAACAAGTGACGTAACAATCAATGCCTGCTCCCAAGAGAAGATAACTCTGCAATACGCAAAGACGGAATACAGGACTAAACAACTTAACCATTTAGTCAGCTGAATCACAACTACTTTAGGTTAGAACCTAAGTCTGTAGAAGTCAGTACCTGAGCTAGGGCGGGTGTGGGGGTCTCGCAAGTCAGCAGGTGTTTTCGTCCTTTCTTTACCAGGTGTACTTGACCTCTGAAAAATTGAATAATTTTAACATATTTATAAGTTGATTTAATGAACATGGTATTTTAACAATAGATATTTTGGTAAAATGTAAGTTTTGAGATTTCACTCACAACATACTTTGCAATGTGTTCTTTACCCTAAGACTGATACTGTGAGTAGGTAGTTTACAAGAAAAGTTCCAGTGTGTTGAAACACAAATAGCACATAACAAGTTCAAATTCTCTCACACATAAACTACACGTATCATTTTTTTTTTTATTTCAGTACAAGCTGGCATCCATCTTCATCTTGAAATTCAAAATCACATAAACATTTTTTAAACATAATAGAATAATTAAATCAGGTCACAATCACAGATAATGGATACAAAAGATGTTAATCTCAACCTGTGTACCTTTTGATTGGTTTTGTATTGAATTGACAGGTACCTGAACCATGTCAGGAGACTTCCAAATCATCCCAAGAGAAAGAGATTAATTAGCCACACCCATCATAGGGAATAAAATAAAGCAGGGCATTGCAAACAATCCTGGTCCTCCACCATAAGACAAACTACTGTATCAAAAATGAACAAAGGACAATAACTCTGTATAAAGTGGAACACCTAATTACACTATGCGAAACTCTTATCAATCCCAACAAGCATATTTGTGGAATTTATATCCCCCGCTTGCAGGACATATTGTAGGCTAACATTACTGAGGTTAGGTTTAAACATGTGAGTATCGTGCTGTTGAGATAAAATGTATAGCTTGAAACTTGAAGAAAGAAAAAAAGCCCTATACCTCATTGATTATCCGTAAATATGCAAATCACATCGGTTGGCAAACTTAGCATGAGTCGGATGTGCATATGAAATTTGGTTGAAACATCTGAACATTATCTACATCAATTATCACACGAAAACCAAAGAGTGCCCGAGATGGGTGGAAAGACACAGGAACACAAACATAATTATCAAGTTTGAAGGAAGTCGGCTTATATTTGCTAGAGTTATTAAGCGGAAACGGCAGATAATGACATTTTTCATTAATCAAGGGGACATAACTCTGCCAAATGGAGTCCGATTAAAGTGTTTGTCAAACTTGGCCGAGCCCTTAATGCATTGAACCCTGTTACTAAGTTTGAAGACAATCGGATAATATTTGCAAGAGTTAATGAACAGAAACAGCAGATGATGTTTTTCGTTATTCAAGGGACCATAACTCCGCCAAAAGGAGTCTGCTGAAAGTGGTCATCGATCTTGACAGAGCCCTTAAGGCATTTAACCCTGTGACCAAGTTTGAAGAAAATTGGTTAACATTTGTTGTAGTTATTGCTCGGAAACGAACCATGACAGACAGACAGACAGACCCAAATTAATATCCCCCATTTCAGTGAAAGCGGGGGATAAAAAGTACTCACATACAAATTGGTAATTGAAGGTGACAATACCGGAGATATACACAAAATGTAACATGATATACAAAGGGCCATAACTCAGTACACCAAAGGATGTGTGACCATATCTTAGTATGTAACACTTTGCCATTCCAACAGGTATACACACACAAAGTTTGTACCTGAAAGAGTACATGAGATATGCCCTGGACAAATTGATGTACTGACAGATGGAGTGGAAACCTAAAGTCATCACTTAAAGTACTGGTGGCACTAAAACCTGTCTAAACGGTACAGAAACTTCAGTCTCTATGGTGATCAGTTTAGACAAGCTTCACTGTACTTCATGGAAGGGTACTCCAACAATGTTAGAGGTTTTACACGGCGAAAAACTTTTGACAGGCAGTCGGCAAAATCATATCCGATTGAAAAAAGGCCAACCAGCGGCCTCTCATGTTATGGGAGTACATGGAAGGGGAGACATACCTAGTGATATCAAGGTTGTCCCATTTAATATCATGATACTTTCACATTAACTTTCCCAGTTATGGAAATACTAGTGAATCATAGCTTTATATATTACAGGGCCTTAGCTAGCTAGTTGATATAAAACTTGACCATAAGTTACCTTAGCACTGAGAGCTCTCGACTTGACCTCCGACCCCGTGACAGCTTTCTTCTTTCTTGGTTGGACAACAACAGGTGTTTTTTCTTCCAGCACAGTACTTTCTCTCCGTGCTTGGGGTGTTTGATACAGTGGTGGACGGTTCGAGTCATCTGTGAACAAGGCAACATTAGAATATGATAATATTGTTTCTCCTAAAGGCTGAATTAAACAAAAGGCCCAGTGAATTCTGCCCATCTACCTAGCCTGTTTGACCAAAAGTGCTTTATACCAAATTTGCTTAGAATGCTTGATGTTGTTTTGGTCAAAAGATCCTTCATGCACAATCAGATTAAAAATCCTTTTACTGATACTGAAGCAGTAGAAATTTACCCCTATCAGACCTTGACTGTCTGCCCAAAGGGTTCACAAATTCTTATTTATACAATAGTAAATCCCCTTGGCCCCAGGATTCTTATACACAAAGTTTGGTTAAAATCCTTTCAACTGTATATTGAAGGAGTAGATTTTCAAAGTTGAACACTTATTTCCCCTATTGAGCCCTGTTTAGTTCCCCTAATTCAGTATACCAACTGATTTCAGAAAGGCATAGCTATACCAAATATAGTCAGCAAATCAGGTAAAAGAAACAGATATTTTAATTTTCTTACTTTCAAAATTCATATGAACTACATATTTGTATTAAAGAAATGAGACAAATTTAGCTACAATAGGAAGGAAAAATAATGTAAACACTTTCGTTTTTATTATATTTCTCATAATCAATTGTCTAAAAAGTATTGAACCTTTTAAAGACAACACACTGGTCATAAAACCCCGCTTACATTCATCCTTGGAAGTCCTCTTCTTGGTGACTTTGCTTATAAACTTCCCCTCGTTAGTTAACGCTGTCACCTAATAAAACAAATAAACCATGGCTGAAATCATAATGCTGATTTACTGTGGAAAACATTTTTGTTTCATTATTATAGAGTACAAAACATTACAAATATGATCATAAAATGCTTATGAACAGTATTTATAATCATACAGACCTAGCATATGGTAAAATGTCAAGTTAAGAACTGTACATGTATGTAACATATACTGGTACACCCACTGATTTGTATACCTTAATGGCATACCCAAATATCTAGAGTGAGCCATCACGCAGTGAAAATGAGATTGATATCAACCTGTATACAAACCGTGATTCAATGCTCCATATATGAGAATGTGCAGTGGAGCCATGAAGTTGATATTGAGGTCAGTGTATACCATGATTGCATACTCTGTACATGGAGTCAATGAAGCTGAGGTCAGTGTATACCATGATTGCATACTCTGTACATGGACTCAAGGAAGCCGAGGTCAGTGTATACCATGATTGCATCCTCTGTACATGGAGTCAATGAAGCCAAGGTCAGTGTATACCATGATTGAAAACTCTGTACATGGAGTCAATGAAGCCGAGGTCAGTGTATACCATGATTGCATACTCTGTACATGGAGTCAATGAAGCCGAGGTCAGTGTATACCATGATTGCATACTCTGTACATGGAGTCAATGAAGCCGAGGTCAGTGTATACCATGATTGCATACTCTGTACATGGAGTCAATGAAGCCGAGGTCAGTGTATACCATGATTGCATACTCTGTACATGGAGTCAATGAAGCCGAGGTCAGTGTATACCATGATTGCATACTCTGTACATGGAGTCAATGAAGCCGAGGTCAGTGTATACCATGATTGCATACTCTGTACATGGAGTCAATGAAGCCGAGGTCAGTGTATACCATGATTGCATACTCTGTACATGGAGTCAATGAAGCCGAGGTCAGTGTATACCATGATTGCATACTCTGTACATGGAGTCAATGAAGCCGAGGTCAGTGTATACCATGATTGCATACTCTGTACATGGAGTCAATGAAGCCGAGGTCAGTGTATACCATGATTGCATACTCTGTACATGGAGTCAATGAAGCCGAGGTCAGTGTATACCATGATTGCATACTCTGTACATGGAGTCAATGAAGCCGAGGTCAGTGTATACCATGATTGCATACTCTGTACATGGAGTCAATGAAGCCGAGGTCAGTGTATACCATGATTGCATACTCTGTACATGGAGTCAATGAAGCCGAGGTCAGTGTATACCATGATTGCATACTCTGTACATGGAGTCAATGAAGCCGAGGTCAGTGTATACCATGATTGCATACTCTGTACATGGAGTCAATGAAGCCGAGGTCAGTGTATACCATGATTGCATACTCTGTACATGGAGTCAATGAAGCCGAGGTCAGTGTATACCATGATTGCATACTCTGTACATGGAGTCAATGAAGCCGAGGTCAGTGTATACCATGATTGCATACTCTGTACATGGAGTCAATGAAGCCGAGGTCAGTGTATACCATGATTGCATACTCTGTACATGGAGTCAATGAAGCCGAGGTCAGTGTATACCATGATTGCATACTCTGTACATGGAGTCAATGAAGCCGAGGTCAGTGTATACCATGATTGCATACTCTGTACATGGAGTCAATGAAGCCGAGGTCAGTGTATACCATGATTGCATACTCTGTACATGGAGTCAATGAAGCCGAGGTCAGTGTATACCATGATTGCATACTCTGTACATGGAGTCAATGAAGCCGAGGTCAGTGTATACCATGATTGCATACTCTGTACATGGAGTCAATGAAGCCGAGGTCAGTGTATACCATGATTGCATACTCTGTACATGGAGTCAATGAAGCCGAGGTCAGTGTATACCATGATTGCATACTCTGTACATGGAGTCAATGAAGCCAAGGTCAGTGTATACCATGATTGCATACTCTGTACATGGAGTCAATGAAGCTAAGGTCAGTGTATACCATGATTGCATACTCTGTACATGGAGTCAATGAAGCTGAGGTCGGTGCATGTATACACCATAATGACATAGACATATCAGGATCACTCAGTGGAGCAGTGCAGCTTGGGTAAGTGTAAGAATAAATAAAAACATTTTGTAAACATACCGTGATGGCATACTCTGTGTCTGGAGTAAGCCTTCGAGCTGTGAAGCTGAGGTCGGTACCAGAATAGATACACTGTGAATTCATGATGACGTCATAACGTGTGATCCTCCCTAGAGGGACCTCCGGCGGGTCCCAGGTGATGTGGATCTCGTTACGTCCTATTACCTGGACGTGAGGCTTGGATGGAGCATGAGCACCTAGAGTGAAGTAGAGGACAACAATTGTTGGAATCGTGAACATAGATGCAATCAAAGTTCAAATTTTAAGGATTCTTTTAACATCATATTTTTTCAGAATAATCCATTTCAGCTGGAACAAAATATATGGATGACATCCCTAGAATTACTGAAACTTCTAGAACCAGGGATATCCTTAGAGAACTTTCAACATTGCTTTAAAATAAGCTATCAAGTGAAAGCACTTACATTATGAAATGATTCAATAAGAGGGTAAATAAATGATATCAGAATCAATGTGTCAACTCATTAATAAGTTAATGTTGGTGATTGTGCATTCATGGGGCAATTATTAGTCAAGTGATTTCCTATTAAAGTGTATTATACAATGTATAATCATATTTTTGGGAGGTCAAAGCTTGAAGTAAAACCTTGATGGTGATGATGTCTTTGCTAACACCTACACCAGATAAACAAGTGAAATGTGATATTGAGCTGATCGCCTGCTCCTGGTCTGGAAGGCAGCAGACAGTTTAAACTATAGCCAAACTTACCTAGTTCTGAAGTTGTTCCAACCATGTAAGCTTTCTCTCCTTTACCTTTGGAGGTAGCTGCACAAACCTGTTCAAAGACACAAACATATTTACAGCAATGTTTATACGACATCGTCACATTTACTGGCTATAGCAGCACAAACCTTGACACACCTATTTACAACTATATACATACAACATTGTAAGGAGATAGCAGCACAAACCCTGACACACCTATTTACAACTATATACATACAGCATTGTTAGGAGATAGCAGCACGAACCTTGACACACCTATTTACAACTATATACACACAGCATTGTTAGGAGGTAGCAGCACAAACCTTGACACACCTATTTACAACTTTATACATACAGCATTGTTAGGAGATAGCAGCACGAACCTTGACACACCTATTTACAACTATATACATACAACATTGATAGGAGATAGCAGCACAAACGTTGACACACCTGTCTACAACTATATACATACAACATTGTTAGGAGATAGCAGCACAAACGTTGACACACCTGTTTACAACTATATACATACAACATTGTTAGGAGATAGCAGCACCAACATGAAGAACTAACATACATACTTCTTCTTCCAGTAATGCGCCAGGCTCCATGCGAAGCATATTTGCACATGGAATATTCACCCTTTCAATTAAACAGTGTTGTTACCTTCTTACTTTGGAACTATGTGGTCCATTAGTATTTCCTCGTAAGTTTGATAAGGAAACATAATTTTGATTTAATTTTTAAGAAACTTTAACAAGAATAAATCAAGGATTGTGGGTAATAGTGTTGTCATGACAACCTACCTCTATGTCATATGAGGTGTTGGCCTGTAACCCAGAGATAATGCACACCAGTTCTGTCGTGTTCTCTATAACTCTGTCACCTGGAAACATACATATGGCATCTTAGTTACTACAGGGTGGCATCTAATACATGTAAATGGTATCTTAGCTACCTCACGATGGCATCAAATACATGTATAGCATATCTTAGTTACCACAGGGTGGCATCAAATACATGTACGTACAGGGTATCTTAGTTACCACAGGGTGGCATCAAATACAGGGTATCTTACTTACTACAGGGTGGCATCAAATACATAAACAGGGTATCTTAGTTACCACAGGGTGGCATCAAATAATGGTATCTTAGTTACCACAGGGTGGCATCAAATACAGGGTATCTTACTTACTACAGGGTGGCATCAAATACATATACAGGGTATTTTAGTTACCACAGGGTGGCATCAAATACTGGTATCGTAGTTACCACAGGGTGGCATCAAATACAGTGTATCTTAGTTACTACAGGGTGGCATCAAATACATATACAGGGTATCTTATTTACCACAGGGTGGCATCAAATACAGGGTATCTTAGTTACTACAGGGTGGCATCAAATACCAGTATGTACAGGGTATCTTATTTACCACAGGGTGGCATCAAATGCAGGGTATCTTAGTTACCAATGTGTCACTAAATATAGAGTATGTTAAGGTATGAAAGTGGCATCTAAATAGTAAATAAAAAGAATATGGCACTTTCCACTAACTATGAAGTATATATATACATTACCGTTAATTATCAAACACAGAGTGATTAGGAAAGAGATATAGTGGTGCACGATATTAGATTAAAATGAACTGATTGTCAAAATAACTACTGTATTACCAGGAATTTTTACCCAGTCAAACTTTGAAGATAAAATCAATATTCACCCAGTGTCAATTTTGCCCTTCACACTTAATTACTATGTATATTAAGTTGTTCACTAATACTTGCTGTTATAATAAATTTGTCCTCATTACGGAGAGCGAAAAAGGAGGAAAGTTCTACAGCAGCAAAGTTTTCCCAAATAGTATATGTCATTTCCTATCAATATACGATTAGAACTAGAATGTGTAGCAATAAAAACAATCATGACCAATAACAGTCTTACCTTGATAGACAGTATAGCCCTTCAGGACCCCGTTGAGGTGTTCTGGAGGGTCCCAGCCAATCTTCAGCTGAGTAATTGTACATCCTAATACCCGTAAGTTCATAGGAGCACTCGGAACAGACTCCTCGGTGACAATGACTGCGAAGTCACTGAACGGACTCTCGTCACCCTCAGTATAAGCTCGGAGTTTGTAAGAGTACTGAGTACAGGGTTGTAGCCCAGAAATCTCAAACTCCAGTTCCTTCCCAGTAAAAATGCATTTGGTAGCTTTAAAAGAAAAGTCACCAATATTTTTAAAACATTCTGCAAGGAACCAAATATCAGTCAAAACATTTAAATGGAAGCTCATTTTTGAATTCAATTTTTTCAATTTCCCTAAGCTAAATTTATGTAAATCAAGTCAATCCTTTTTTTTATCATCACTTTTGACTTAAATACATTTATAGACTTGAAATACCTATGAAAGTACATGTACTAACAAAGCTGCAGTTTCAAAAATTATTTAAATATAAAACTTTTGTAGATCAATGAAAGTTATAGTCCAGTGATACATACTATCAAATAATTGGTAACGGACTTGAAATCCACTTTTTGTAGATATAGGGTCCCACGATGCTTTCACAGTTGTACCGTTATTGATGACTGAAAATAATAAAGGTTCATTATGAGGACATTCTGTAGCATTACAAGGTTAGTAGGCCCCAATACAAGGGTTGTTCTGTCTTAACTTTACCAACACTGTCTTATGTATAACAGATGTTCTTGCCCGCAATATTTAATTTCTTTTTTCAAAAAATCATAATATTTAAAAAAAACATGATCTGATCATCAAGACAAAAATTCATTAGAGTATAAAATCAAGTAATCAATTGCTATGGTAATGGTTATATTTAAGTTTATAAACTTTGTACAGTGTAATAGAAATGGTTATCATTATTATAAAACCAACAGGTCTACACTATCAGCTGATCAGTCAGGTATAAACTGGTCAAGTAAATGTAATCAAATGTGACAAGTAAGTATACTTGTTACTTAAGATAGCCTTGTCGTATTGGAAACTTGTGTTTGATTGGTTGAGACTGGTATGATAAGCGGACCTGAACATAGAGTGACATATGTATGTGAAGGCCTCCCATTCTGTTTTAGTGTGTAATTCACCGAGTAACAATATTTCGATCTTTTAAACTGCTATTCTTTGTCGTCAGTCGCAAACTAGATGATACAATAATATTTGGAACTGGAAACTTCTGCTGCATTGTTGAATTCGCAGATGAATACTTCTGTGAAAGCCCAAAACTTACCGTGTTAGGCCAAAAAATAATAATTACTTGGTTCTCAGGCCGGCGCGCATTTCATTTTAGGGCACTGCTTTGCCGATTTTATCGTGAAAGTAATAAAAAAAAATAGTGAATACACCAGCCGTTGTCTTAAAAAAAATCAGGAAATTGGTCCGCGTATCGTTTTACTCGTTAGTCACCCAAGTCCCTAAAACGTTTGAATAAAGATAAGGAGTTGATATACAGGCAAGCGTTGAAACGATTATGACATATTAACCTCGTGTACAAATGGCGCTGATTTCGGTACAAATAAGGAATGGGGGGGTCCGTGATTCTTCCCTGGAACATTTTGGGGGGATTTTCGGAGGCTTGTTTCATGACGGATCTCTACACAACTATAAAAACCGGTAACATCGTTCTGCTAAAGTATCTGTGTGTGTTTGACAAGGTATAATGCCCACAATGAACGTTTTACAAACTACACAATAAAAAAAAAATCGCCCTCGTCTCATAGTTTGTCATGTAAGACGAACCAAAAAAATTAATTCCCTGCCTCATCTCTCTTTACAAAAATTGGCCTGAGAACCAAGTAATTGATTTTTTTTGGCCTTACAAAAGTTAACCCAGTTTACAGTATTGCCAAATCTTGTTTGAATAAACCACTCTAAGTCACTTTACCATACAAAAGTATAAAATTTGCGCAAGCAATAAACTATAAGGATCTCACATGAGCTGCTTTATAAGGAAATAAGCCTATGCCACCTTGCTAAATGCCTCCACATCTGTGCATGTCTGTGTGTAATGGAGACATATAAGCATTATGTGAGACTGTGTTTTCGATCGTATTTTTAGTGCCGTCTTACTTGAACAATACAGCACTGACACTGTAGCATCCACCATTTTATATTCTACCTGAGTTATCGGAACTGAATGGACAGGACAAAAACACTTATTATGAAAATCCTTCACAGACCGATCTGTTGCCCTCTGTTGAAAAAGCACTCTGCCAGATCTATTAATGTACAGGAGTTTTGAAGGTTACTTTTAACAGATGTTATATAAAAGTTTGTGACCTTACTTTGTAGTTGAGGTGGGTTTGGTTTGGATAATTTCTTGAGGATTTCTAATGTGATGCTTGATTCTTCCTTCAGATCTGTGTTGGCATTGTCACGACTCACCACAGACTAAAAATACACCCGGATTAAGAAAATAGTAATTCAGACAAACTGGGCTGAAGACATTGCACATGAACAGCTCCTTACTACACCTAAGGACATGCTAAATACAGCATATATGGCGGCAATGCCACGATTGTTATCAGTACATCTGTGTATCTCTTCCAAATGTGACATGATTAATCAACTTTAAACTGCTGTCCAATTGAAATCTATTTTATAATGTCGCACTCTTTGGAGATAAATGTCTAAGTAAGGTAGCACATATGTATCCTTAAATTATTTATTGTTAGCACAGTAATAAACCACCTAAATCTCAAATGAGCAAACTGATGCTAATATATAAAGATTTACTGAATCTTTGCTTTTCCACAATATACATGATTCGCTACAGTGCTTACCTTGAGGGCAGGGATGACTTGACTATGGTCCCTCAGTCTCAGACATCCACGGGGCTGACTGGCCAGGGTTCTCAGGGTCCTTACAATCACAAATATTAAATATTGAGGGCCACCCATTGTATTATATACAGTAATACTTGATTTCTCATCAGAAAATTTCCCAAATGAAGGTATGTGCTTTTGGTTTCTGAATATGAAATTATTTTTGTGGCACAATCTAATTTTCTTGTGGCAGTATTTTCTTTCCTTCTTTCAAAGAAAGGATATATGCAAATGAATGGTTAACAGTCGTCAATAAGCAAATTTACATTCCTGATATATGGGTTCAGACATGGATAAATAATTATTTTTGTCCTTGACCTATGACCTCCAAAAGTTAATCAATTAAAAAATTGAATTAAAAAGTATAACAAAATTAATCTAGAAATCTTACATGGCAGCAAACCAGCCTGTTTCTGTGTCCTCAGCAGTGAGAAGGTTGGCTAGTGTTCGCAGAATGTCATCAGAGTGAAGATTATTGAGTAGGCGTGTGTGACCTTCTACATTGGTCGCTAGGCAACTCAGGGCAAAACAGGCATTTTTACTGGATCCTGTGTCATCACAACTCAACATTTTTGCTAACGCTGAGAGCTGTAGCAACAGACAGGTATCATAATGAGACACTATCATATTGTATATAGTGGTAATTGCAATTTTCACTTGAGACAGATTTACTTGGTGCTTAAGTTTCTCATTTATAAAAAAGGTTTGGTGATCCTCTTTAGACCTGTTCTGGACGTATTCTAGCCCAAATATATTCAATTTTCCAAGGCAAATGTTTGCAGTGCGAGGATCGAGGAACAGATATAGACTTTAAGATTATTCTGTTTGAGATGAAATTTTCTGGGTAACTGAAAGACCTATTATAGTATACACCAGTCCATACCATCAAATATTTCATAATGTATCAAATACTTAACATTTAACAGTATACATGATGGTAAAAACTGTAATATTACATAGGCTTAATGACCTATGTTTTACTACATCCAACAGTAAGTATAACCAAACTCAGTGTATAGGGGACCTTTGTCGTGTGTAAGTTGGCTGACTTCTACTCACCATTCTCTCCGACTCCGTCAGCTGTAACAATCTCTTCCTCCCCGCCTCTATATCACATAGTCTTCCTATGGCAAAAGCGGCATTCATTCCGCGACCTGGCAAACAAAATTCATGGAATCAATCATAATATAGTCTGGCAACTTAATTTTGAAATTTTCAATGAGAAGATTTAGAAATTTAACTAGATCTACTATTATGAACTCACAAATATGAGAAATATCTTAAGTTGTTTCAGTCAAATGCATGTGTCATGGTTTTTTTAAAAACATTTTAAGCTTTAGAACCTCATATATTTCAATATATGATATATATGTATTAATATACCAACCATGAGACTACAGCCAACTACATGCATGGTGTATTATATTAGGTCTTAGTATATTCTTGTACATTTCTTTCCAGGATAAACAGGGTGCACAGAAAGATGTGGATATATCTTTAAACATGATTACGATACTCAAGAAAACACAACATCCCCAGACCTTTCCCATACAAGTGTTGAGAGAGTTTACCTAGATTTCCTGATTAAATGAAGAGTGAAGATTTCAGTTACTCCACCAATAGAACAACATCGTGTACATCAAATGGTGGGACCAGGTGCTTACCATTATGAACATGTTCACACAGCCTTAACTCATTCACCCATGAAATTTCATAATGAACTATTCTGACCTTTGAATTGAAAGAGTTCAAATGTGTCTTCAGGGGTGATTGAGTTAAGATTTGTGATGAATCTCTAAAACAGTTACAGACAGATGGACAGAAGGACCAGCAGTTCATACCCTCACCTGCACTTTGTTCTGGGTAGGTTACAAACTTACTACCCTACTTGTGTCCTTGATGGTAAATCTTGTCACTTGTTACTTATTTAGTAAGAGTTCAGTCCCCTTTAGTTCAATCAATAAAACAATTGCTGATTAATTCAATATGCTTTTTCACCACTGGTAAGCTTGACCCAATTGATGCATCACCTGAGACCCAAGATTTGGAGACATTTTACACCAGACAGATCCCAACCAATCAGAGCCATGTATAATATACAGAAGGAGAAAAGATTTGGAAGTAGGAAGCATGAGAATAAGAAAGACATTGATAAGTATTGAAGCCAAAAAAATGATCGAACCTGTTGCTGAAATTGAATCAATTTCATGGAATAGATTTCATTCGAAAATACCAAATCAATGATAAATACAGTTTAGGTTTCATAAGCAGAAATGATTGCATACTGAAAGTCATATGACATTGATTAAATATCATACTTTGAACAAGTTCTTGGTCAGAATTTGAATTCTTGTCAGAAACATTTACTGCTATCTATATATACATCACTTGTTTAAGGAGACTTAGATACAAAATTTATCATTTTTTTTTTACATTTTCATATATAATTAAATTCACATGGTCTTAATATTCATAATATTTCCTAACTGAAAAATATCCCCATAGATATACCATTATAAATATGTAGTTTCATACATATCGGTACACTTTCTCTTTCATGTTGATCAAAAGAAGTTCTGATAATAGCCATGTGATCAAAGGAATTAGATCACATCCTATACTGTAGAACACTTGGTAATGACGTTTTCATCATGTAAATATTGTGGTATTCCATATGATATTTCTTTCCTTTCCAACAATTCGTGGGATCATACAAGTCCCAGTTAAAACAGTGAACAGTGACTTCTAAAACGAACACGGTTACCAGTAAGACAGATCTTGAGTATACATGTATTTTTGCAGAATTTCAATAGCAGTATACAGAAGGTTGAATATTTTCTGGTAAACACCGTTGAACCTACCAGCCTCGTCCACTCCTAGAGACTGGACCAGTCGGGACAGGATGTGTTGCGAGTTGTCATGACCCAAAACCTTCAGACATCCATTTTCAGAAATACTTAATCTGTAATAAAAGTTTGACAGTCAGAAGTACAGAATTCTTATAGAAAATTGACACAATTAAATCATTCAAATACTTTGAAGGCACTTTTATAGATAATAATCCATGTGAAGCTTACTTTTTAATTGTACTGAAAACTTTCCCATGGTTCCACAAACTGTTTTTATATACATATATATGTATATTTTTCCTGCTTGATATAGGTCATGTGATATCTAAGATGCGTTAATAGTTTTATTAGAACCAATGCAGTATTTTGGACAAGTATCCGGTAGACTAGACAGTATTGTGTATACAGACGGACAACCTACCAAGGTTATTCCAATATATCCCCAACTTCATTGCCACAGGTATAAGATCTTTTAACCTAGAAATTTTTCTACATGCTTTTTTTCAAAATATATCTTTAGCATGTCTGTTGTACACAGTGAATGAATTAGTTTTCAAAGTGAAAAATGTAATCAAGCACTTTGTGAGTACCGTTTTTAGACACAAAAACTTTAATTGGCCATGATAACATTACAAATATAAGCCCTTTCCAAGAGTTCAGCACCCTATATCTGTACGACAGTTGGTTGTACAGGGTTTAACGTTTTAACAACAGCTAAGGTCATTTAAGGACATCTGTATGACAGTTGGTTGTACAGGGTTTAACGTTTTATTAACAGCTAAGGTCATTTAAGGACATCTGTATGACAGTTGGTTGTACAGGGTTTAACGTTTTATCAACAGCTAAGGTCATTTAAGGTCATCTGTATGACAGTTGGCTGTACAGGGTTTAACATTTTATCAACAGTTAAGGTCATTTAAGGACATCTGTATGACAGTTGGCTGTACAGGGTTTAACGTTTTATCAACAGCTAAGGTAATTTAAGGTCATCTGTATGACAGTTGGCTGCACAGGGTTTAACGTTTTATCAACAGTTAAGGTCATTTACGGACATCTGTATGACAGTTGGCTGCACAGGGTTTAACGTTTTATCAACAGCTCAGGTCATTTAAGGACATCTGTACGACAGTCGGTTGTACAGGGTTTAACGTTTTATCAACAGCTACGGTCATTTAAGGACATCTGTATGACAGTTGGCTGTACAGGGTTTAACGTTTTAACAACAGTTAAGGTCATTTAAGGACATCTGTATGACAGTCGGTTGTACAGGGTTTAACGTTTTATCAACAGCTACTGTCATTTAAGGACATCTGTATGACAGTTGGTTGTACAAGGTTTAACGTTTTATCAACAGCTAAGGTCATTTAAGGACATCTGTATGACAGGAAGAATGCTCCACACATGAATTACCTGGCAAGCACTAGTGCAGCATTACTGGCAGTCCACAGGTTCTCTGCCGAGAGAAGTGCGGTCACATGGTCCAGTGTCTGGCCCAGACATGGTTCACTGAGCATCCACTCTCGACCCTCGTAACTCTCCGCCTACAGGTGGTAACGTATCAATAATTTTTACTTATCATCATCTCACCTTTAGTTAAAATTGTGAACCGTCTGTCAAATCAAACAGTTTTTCATTGATCATTTGTGATAAAAATGTATGACAAAGAAGTTTCTCCTTTTATGTAACTATTGTTAATATGGTTTAATTGAGATCTTACAAATACGGCAAATAACTGGTAAACAATGTACACTTGGTTAATAACGCATTGAAAACAACTATAAGAAAAAATGATGAAATCTGTTTGGCTGAACATTGATATTACCAGAGTTCCCATGGTTCCAGCAGCGTTCATCACACTCTCCGCATCATCAAATGCCAACATGCGTGTGAGATCAGGGAGGATTTTTCGACTTTCTCCATGTTTTGCCTTGGCAAGGCCCAGAATCCGGTTACATCCCAAGTCTGACTCGGCCAACGTTCCAATGATGTACGCTGAGTTACCCGCCACCCTGTTAACAGACAGAGCTTAGAATGAAGATCAAATCTTAGTTTAAATTTAAAATGAAAATTCTTCAAAAATCTACAGAAGTAGTTGTTTCAATTTTTTCACAAAATAATACACAAGGTATCAATCACTACTTGACTGACTGATTGAATTCTAATTAATATCTTAATGGTCTAATTAACAGAAAGAGGTCACACATGACAAAATAATAGAAAACTTGTCTAAACCGTTAATGTATGTGTAAGTAAAACAAATATAGATGAAAAAGGTAAGAAACCTGTAGATACTCCGCTTAAATTACCTTCAACAGCATTTCAATGAAGACAATATTTGTTTTCCTCAAACAACTTATACACAAAGATCTCAATTCATTATATGTACAACAGAAATATATTTAACTAAAAAATACATGATTGACTTTCCTTGCAAACTAAAATGAAAGTACATATCACATGAAGTATAAGTGAATTCTGACAAGCCTGCAGACTGCTATCTATGAGTATAATGACTATTAAATACTAAAGACGACTGATGATAGAAATGGTTTGTAATATTAATAGTTGTCAGTTAAAGAATTGTATACATATATACTAGAAAATGTATGTAGGACCTGAATTTCCCTACATTTGACCTTTGTATAAAGCAAAGACACTGAATAGGGACGAGAGAGGATTGGACATGATACGATGCAACGGGAAGGACATTGGTAACAATATTTATCACAAAAGGTACTGTGTTATCAAGTGAGTATATACCCATGTCAATTTTTTTTGCGTATTTACCCATGCAATATGACCTATCAACCCTGTGATTGGTTGTAAGTTTCAATTGTTTCAATTCTGACATCACGCTTAGGACAAGTACATGACGTCACAGACTTCGCACTTGAGTCAAAATGGCATCTTCTTGCAGTTCAGGGTTACATGAAAATTGTCGTTTTGCACGAATAAATGCCACAAATCCTGATTATGTGATAAAAAGGATCTTACACTCGTTTTCATTTCATATGAGATTTATGAAACGAGTCTTAAGATTTTTTTCAATTTAGCGAGCCTTTGTTTCATGAAACTCATATGAAATGGAAACTCATGTAAGATCCTATCCTATATATGCAAATACTCCCCCTCCTAAAATGCCAAGGGCATAAAAACTAGCAATTCAATAGGACAGGCTTCCTGGGAGCAGTCTAAGCAGAAATAGGATTCTGCAAGGATATTGTAAGTGTTCAATGTTATGAGAAGAGACTTATATCCACTGTTTACATATGTATAACACATAAAATACAATTTCCTTGGCCTGTGTAATATGTGATGCAATATCAAAACTCATATTCTCGACCTTGACTTAATAAGGACAAGCTTTAGGCAGAGTGGGGATTTGTCACTCATCATTATCGTAACAGTCATTCTCCCGCCTGAATGAAATCAATATCAGTGATGTTACATAACAGACCTATAGGAGTATTGACTGGAGTATTGACTATAAAATGAATTTTCAAATATATATTTTACATAAAGATGTCCTGTAGACATATCTGTACTTACACTAGACCTGTTGTAGTCTTGTCTTTATTGACTTTTANCCTTTAAGTAAAGGTCATAGCTTTATACTAGACCTGTTGTAGACTTGTCTTTATTGACCTTTAAGTAAAGGTCATAGCTTTATACTAGACCTGTTGTAGACTTGTCTTTATTGACCTTTAAGTAAAGGTCACAGCTTTACGCTAGACCTGTTGTAGACTTGTCTTTATTGTCCTTTAAGTAAAGGTCATAGCTTTATACTAGCCCTGTTGTAGACCTGTCTTTATTGACCTTTAAGTAAAGGTCATAGCTTTATGCTAGACCTGTTGTAGACTTGTCTTTACTGACCCCTGAATAAAAGGCATAGCTTATCTAAATACTACGGACTTGGTTTTATTGACCTGTTAGTTAAGTTCATAGCTATACACAAGCCATGTAATACTTATTTCATTTACTACTAAAATTATGCCATAGCATTACGCTAGCCTTGTTGTAGACTTTTAATGACTTTTCTGACCTTTAAGTAAGGGTCATAGCTTCACAATTTGAGACTTGTAGACTTTAATTATTTTTCTTGCCTCGAGATAAAGGTCATGGCTTATTTCCCTAGACTTGTTGTCAGAACTGGTGTGAACAATCAACACACTTATACATCAATCAATATCATGTAAAATTTAATGGCAGGATGAAATAAAAGGCCGCCCTTCGAAGACAGCAGATTGACCAACAAACTACAGGTATTGACTTTCCCTTGAGTGGTTTATCATCAGTGGAGATCTCTCTTTTCATGTGTGGTTTGATCGATAACGTGTCAATGTTTTGCTGTCCATGATGTACATAGAATTTACATAACAAATCCTGTTTATCCATCTAAGCTTATGTCAAACAGGGTTACTGGAGTTCATAATAATCAATTGTATATATATGTAGTTGATTATGTACAACTCTCTTTGAGCTCATTCTTTAATTTCTAATACTTGCCTATTGAGGATTCACATTAATCATAAATTACTTCATCATACAAAAAAAATCAAGTGCAAAGGATTAATATTGGCACTGCTGTAATATATAGTATGTCCAAATAAGGAGTCTATCAATTAATGTGATCACTAAGTCCGTCAGTTTATGTAATCACCTGAAGTACATTAGTACCATATTTGCGATAATTAGCGTTCCTTCCCCTATAAGCACCCTTCCCACTTTTTCAAGAGGAACTGAAATAAAGATCCCCTCCCAGGCCTGACCAGGCCCAGTTAATGATTCCTAGTACAATGTACTTATGTTTACAGTAGAGATTTATGTCTGGTGATCCTGTCTGCACCTCCAGTGAAGTATGAAGCAATTATATATAATTACAGCTAACACGGTAATCACTTAACTTATATATAAGTTTATCACAGACACACAGAAATTGAAAGTAGTTCTGTTGAAATCTGCATGTATCAAAAACATATGAAACAGATGCAATAAACTATCTCTGAAGACAGGTGTCACTATTACAATAAAATGCCCTTGGATCCTGAAATTCTTTTAAAATCAACTACAAAAAAAAAAACATGGATGGACAAAATGTGTTTTTTCTTTTTATCTGTGTGCACATTTTGTCCATAAATTGAAGATCCATGACAACAATTAATATGTATTATGATGATGTATTCAAAGCATGTGCTGCAGCGATACCCAGACACCAACTAGAACTTTACATGTCAATCATAGAACAACTTTATGCAACCAGACAATTCTGTTAGAGCCTTTGATTTTTACAGGAAATTTCTGGGGAATTTCTGCACCAATTGCGCCAATAATCACTTAACACAGTGATGCAAATTTATTTATAGCACCATTAATTACATCAATTACAGTCGGTAATTGACCACTTACAAATTACACTACATCACGTTTGGCGTGGCTTCAAAGTGAATTCTAGGGTAGATTTCTCATACATAGCAATTGCAATTCATAGCTTGCTTCCTTTAAGACTCTTCTGTAAAGATATGTAGTAACATTCTCACAAGGTGTAAACAACTTTCCTCTTCAGAAATATAATACACCACGGTTGGTCCAGCCAACTGTGGTGTAAAATCAAATGCTCCTTTATATCTAATTACACATCTACAGTCTTACATAATCGAATATATAATTCATAATTAGCAATAAAAGGGACTGAATTTGATGGGGGAAATCTTCTACTTTATTATTTTTGTAGATTTTGGTGGAAGGGAGGCTGGTAAAGAATGGCAATATAAAAGCTGAAATACTGTAAATTTGATTATTTTAGTGCAACAAAATGGTTTTTTTATTTGAATATGCTGCCAGAATTCATTACTCAACAAATATACTTTAATCAATTAAGTGAAAAGGTTGATAAGAATATGAAAGAAGTGGAAAATATACAATTTTCATACCGCTATATATATTAGTAGTTTTTATACAGCCTTCCTTAATTTCAGAATGACTGACAAAAGATAGCTTAAACTAAAATAGTAAAACTTTCTAACAGGTTTTTTTAAGGACAATACGGTATAACGACAGATGTAGAATGTAAAGTGTTCCGCTATCAATATATTCTTAAGAGACTTGTGTTTATCACAACAACCGAAACAAAATATTGGTCCACTAAATATATATCATCCACAGAATCAATTAATGGGGGCGTTTCCTGTACAAGTCAAACACTCAAACAACGCTCCGCCATCAATCAATTCCACACATTGTCTGTGTGTATCACAGCACTGTACACAATGCTTACATCGGTGTATCCAGGCAATGCTACAGACACAGACTGATACCATATTGATATTCTAATTATCTAAAATTCTGTTCATCTATTCTTGTAAAAATATTTTCAGTTATGTGTTTATCAAAAGCATTCTTTCCAAGTTTATTGGCATTAACATAAGATCTTATTGACATCAAACAAAAATAATCCAATGAATATTGATGAGAATATATTGTGCAAAATACAAATAAAAACATTTTTTATCTTTATTAAGGTAGCAGTGCAGGTTTGTATTTTAGTAACGTGTGATTTTTTAATCTCTTAGCGTTTATTTTTTGTTTCCCCTGCCCAAAGAGCTATTTCAGTTTATGTTGTGCATCATTTAAGGTCTCAACAATGAGAAATCTATATAGTATTATCCATAAAAGACCATTTTTAGTGAAGACAGGTGACACAAAAGTACATGTCAAGGTATTTTAAGTGCATTGCCAAGAAAAAAGAAAATCTAATATTTCCTAATGGAATCTTAAATAAAAACCAATAGAAACAATGGGATGTATTACACTCATTATAGTATGACCTGCTCTCACCTCATGTTAGATCTGAACATTTCATGTACGTTTCTAAAGGAATATATATATAAATATAAACTTTATTATTTTACAACAATTATGAAACAAGTTATAGCAACTTATATTAATCACTCTTGTTGGCCTGGATACTAGCGTGCAGGGGGGTCTTAATGTGGGAGGAAACCAGAGTACC